AAGTGTGGCATACAGGATTGAGAATCTGAGAGATAAGAAAACCTGAATTCAAGTCCTATTCCTGAAACACACATAGCTGTATCACCCTGGGATAGTCACTTAAGTTCTCTATTTGACCCAGACAAGAGCAGTTAGGTGACAAAATGGATAAAATGGTGGGCCTAGAGTAGGGAAGACTTACCTTTCTGAGTTCAAATCATACACTTACTAGCTGTGTGACCCTGGGCAAGTCACTCTACCCTATATGCCTCAGTTTCCTCTTGTGTAAAATGAGTTGGAGAAGGAAATGGAAAACTACTCCAATATATTTGCCAAGAAAATCCAACATGTGGTCATAAAGAGTCAGACATAACTGAAAAACGACTGAACAGCAACAACTGACCTATCCAATTCTCTGGGGAAATAAGTTATAGAGAAGGTGCAAACCTGTATTAGAAGAAGTAGATTCCTAATATGGGAGTTCCCTATACCAAAGAAATCACAGGCCCTGTTCCTATACTTATTCCTATCAAGATTTTAGCTCCTATTTTCTAAATCAGATTGCATTACATCTGTCTTGTCATTATTTTTTTTTGCAATGTTTAAAAATTTATAAAACTGCTTTCGCCAATGATACCTAAGCATCCCTGATAACATAAGTTTGGTAGAAAGGCATCTTACAAAGAGATTTTCTTCTTAAAAAATCAATAAATCTTTGGTTGTTATTTGATTTGTTTGATATTTAAAGGATTTAATAAAAGGATTTGTTCTGTGAAGTTTGGATTTAGTCAAAGAGCCACACTTCATGTAGCCTCAAGGTCACAAGTTTCCCACCCCTGAATAAAATTCCAAGATGTTAATTTATTTCAATCCATGTGTGATCCACTTTGTACTTGAATCACAATCTGTTTTGCAATTCACACTAAACTTAAAAGATCTCTAATGGGAGTGAACCCCCTTTTTCCCTAGGTATCTCATTTTAAATAGCTCTAATCATGAAGGTGTTTTCTTGTAGATGTTAGTCCTTTATAGTCAGGCCTGAATACCCATTGTTTTTATATCTTCAGTTTTGCACTGACTTGGCTCAGTACCTTGTGAGTATGGCCATATGTTGGGACACTTTAAAGATACACATTGATGAAAGGCCATTCATTTGAAGGAAAAAAATGTATTACACTACTCACATTGTCAAATCTCAAGTAATATTGTCCTAAGGTGTAGTCATTTGGAAACACTATGCACGTAGTTCAGAATGGCTAAACCAATTCACAGATCTGCCAATAGTTCATCAATATGTCTATTTCTCCAAAAGCTCCCTAACTTTTGACACAGCATAAGTCTATAAATCCAAAATGATAAAAAAGGAAAGAAAAAAAAGATCCATAAAGAAGAAAATATTTATAAGAGCTCTGTTGTGATGGCAAAAAAACTGGAAACTATGTGGGTATCCATCAGTTGTGGAATGGTTGGATAAATTGGAATAAGATAGTACCACAAGAAATGAGAAAAGGGATGGATTTAAAGAAACCTTTGTATGAATTGTATAAAATCCATGTAACAAATGTAGGAGTTTGTTTTGCTTGACTATGTACATTTGTTACATGGTTTTATTTTTCTTTTAAATTGGGAAGAGATGAGAGAGAGAAAAATAGATGCTTGTTAATTGAAAAAGAAAATGAAATTAAAAAAAAGAAACACCATGTGTAATCACATCAACTTTCTTTTGCTCAAACTTAAATTTTTGTCACTGAAAATCCAACTTCTCACCTTTGCGGTATGTTCCTTTTTAGCTATTAGAACTAAACATGGACAACTCTGTAGGACATTACATTTCAAAATAAAAGTTGATGCACCATTTGATTGAAGTTGCTTTATCATGGATAAGAAACTGACATCCAGTCTGGAAATCAGAGGAAGGAGAAAGTGGGCTTCTTTGAATGAAAAGATTGGAACACAAGGATTTTGTTTTGGGAGTAGACTTATTAATATTTGAATAAATGAGGTCCTTGATAGCAAAATCTTCACATCTGCAGGGAAAACAAAACTTTACTATAGGGTAAAATGAAAAAACTGAGGGGGTCAAAGAGCAATAAAATCTTATAAAATGATATGAACTGACAGGAGAAAAAAAACCCACAGATGATGTTTTCATGGGCATGTGAACGGAAATGAATTTACTGGGGAAAATAATTCAAACTACATGTGTGAAATGGCAAGCTTTAAGATAACCATTTATGATACTCTAAAGGAATTGAGGAGTCATGCTGAAATATTTCTTGCAGACCTTGGTTTAATTTATTGTTACAACCCTCAAACCAGAAATATTTTTTTGCCATTACCCAGAAAGATAATGTGAAAACATACATACAACACATTTTCCTGACCTTTGAGAAAACTGTATGTCCATCATAAGTGTCATATATTAAATGTAGTTCCATTGTGATCACCACTCCTTAAAATAGATATAATAGAGGTGAAAGAGGTCCAAAGGAAAGCAACAAACATGATTAAGGGAATGGACATTGAACATGCAAAGACAACCTGAAAAGATGAGGACTTTTGACTCTGGACAGGTAACAACTAAGAAAGGGTATAATCAAAGTCATGTACAGTTTGGAAATCTGAGTACAGACTCATTTAATAAATATTAGGATCCTAGATAGGAAACTTTTGAAGCTTAAAAGTACTCTGATTTTAGGGTTGGTGAAAGCAAGCATTACTTTAGACACTGGACTTATGGAACTCATTACTCTAAGTCTGAAAATATAGTTTCAAAACAAAGTCATGAAACTGTGAAAATGTTTATGACACATAATGCTTAATGAAGGGATGCTAAAGCTATCCAGGAGTAGTTGTTCATTTTTTTATCATTGACGTGGATAGGTAAATCATTTTCGTATGGCCACCTTCGGAAATGGGATATAAGACCATATAGGTGATATCTCTGAACCAACGTGACAATATGAAAAGGTGAGTGAACAAACTAAAGTGAACAAACAAAAAAAGATAATTGATTTATCTTAGTTTTATCAGAGGAGAAAAATAGTTGAAAAGTTATACATTTGTTAAATGAATTAAAAGACTTAAAGATAAGCAATTTTATTCATTCTAAAAATGATAAATTGTTTAGAGCTTTAAACTGTTTTACAATATTTATTCTTATGAAGGCACAATTTCACTTAGTCAGAAATTTATGGAAAACATTTGGATTTAGTTATTTATCTTAACACATATATGTTAGTACTGCCCTTAATGTGGACTTCATAATGACTGCAGTATCTTCCTTCATAAATAGTTTTTATGAAATAAATATTTAGCTTCATCATATGTTATGTTCTACAAAACTTATGTTATTTTTTAGTCAGCTAAGTGATGTAAGAGAGTGCTAGATTGGAATCAGAAAGACCAGAGTTGAAATCTGCTTCATGTACTTACCAGCTGTTTGACCCTAGACAAATCACTTAACCTAACTCAACCACAGTTTTTTTTTACCTGTAAAATGGGGATAATAAGAGTACCTAATTCACAAGTGATTGTGAGAAAGTGTTTTACAAAGCTTAAGGCACTATATAAATGTTAGCTATTAGTATTATCATTATGTTTGGATCATAGTATATTGTTAGAAAATACATTTCTGAAAAATAAATTACAGTGCTTTCAAATGGCTTCTTTCTCTACTTAACTTTTTTTTCAAACCAGGGCAATGCTTTGCCCTTTGTTTCATAGTATTTGCCAAAACTTTTATTTCTCTTTTAATTGTTTCTCTCCTGCCCCCCCTCGTGAAATGCATTGTAGCAAGTTTTATTTTTCAATAATTTTGGACCATTTAGTCCTTATCTATTCAAAGAACATATTTCTAGAACATAAGGAGTTAAAAGTAGAGTGACTAGTTCACTCAAAATTGCCTTATTAGGGACAAAGTTTATTTATCTTACACCAGAGTGAATTATGGAGTTGTATTAATGTAGCAAAAAGAAGACTGAGCTAGGAAAGACTTGAGTTCCAATTCCTACTCTGACATTTTCCTAGCTGTATGACCATGCAATTCATATAAGATTCTGAGATTCAATTTGCTTACCTGTAAAATTAGGTAATAATACTCTCATTATGTATATCACATAGTTGTTATGAGAAAATTAAAATGCTGTAGAAATGTTAAATAACATAGCATATACCTTTTGTAGAAATAGAAAAATATTAATTTAAACAAAATAATTCAAACCCTTTTCAGCACTTTGTAAATGCTTGCTGATTGATTTCTCTGTTTTAAATTATTTTAAAAATTATATTCTTATTAGCTTGGATTGGTACTTAATGGTCATTGGCTAAGTAGGTGGAAACAGTTATCCTAATCAATTTTTTGTGCCTACTATATATCCCACACTATTCTAGTTGTTAATGATACAGACAAAAATGAAATGATCCATGCACTCAAAGAGATTACATTCTATTGGTGGGATTCAACATGTATTATTACTAGAGGCTATAAGATGCATGGCTGCATAACTGGTTGGAAAAATTGGGGAATTTTGGCACCTTGGACATTCTGCTTGCTTCTATTTATTTCCACACATATTTCTTTCTGACCTTCACAGCATCTCTTGTACACATTTCCTTCTCTCCATTCACAAAGTTAACACTCTAGTTCAGGCCCTTAATCCCTCTCACCCAGACTACTATAGCCTTCCAATAGTCTCTCTGCCTCCACTTTCTTTCCACTCCAATAACAACAAAACAAGCAATTTAATGGCCCAAGTTTCTTTTCAGGACCTATCTGTGAACTAATTCCACTATAAATAGTTCAATAAATACTGTCCTGGCCCATCAATGATTATAGTAAAATACAGAGTTGGGAATGTCCATTCAGTAACCATTTCTCTCAAGGTCAAGTTCATTGGTTTTGTTTTATTTTTTTTTATCTTACTTATGTGCTATCTATAATGCTTAAGAACATCTTTGTGCTGAATATATATACACACTGCTAACATTAAAAAAAGAAATCTTACATTTATTTTTCATACCTTGAAGATTTTAAACATAATCTCATAAACTGAGAATGTTTTTTCTGCTCGTGTCCAGTCCCAAGTGGTTACCTTTAAAATGAGAAAATTACATGGTAATATCATAATTATTAGAAATATAATTCATTTTTAATTCCTCTAATTTTTTCTCCACAAATCACAAAATGTTTATTCATAGAGACCTTCACAGATTAATTTTGTCCTGCCTTTTTGCAAAAATGCTTACAGAAATCAGTATGTTTAAATCTTTGTTTCTTTAATTACTACTTTTTCTTTCTCAATTTCCTTTCCCACACCTTCAAAAAAATACTTTATCACTTGTCATTGGCAAAAGGCCTAATGTGTCTACATATTTCATTTTATTCTTTGAACACTTTAAAAATATTTTTATTTATTTTGTTAAATATTTCCCAGTTACATGTAAAAATTAAAAATAATTTAATAACTTGAGTTCCAAATCTCTCTTTCCCTTAAGATTCTCCTTGAGAAGGCAAGTGATTTGATATGGATTATACATGTGAAGTCACCCAAAATATATTTCTAGATTAGCCATGTTGGAAAAAAATAAAACAATGTACAAACTATTAAAAACAAAGAAATCAAAGTAAAAAGTTATGCTTCAATCTGCATTCAGAATTTATCAGTTTCTTTCTCTCTGGAACTGGATAGAATTTGTCATCATGGGTCCTTTGGAATTGTCTTGGATCATTGTCTTAATCAAAGTAGCTAAGTCTTTCACCATTGATCATCTGTACAATATTGTTGCTATTGTGTACAGTGTTCTCCTGGTTCATCTCACTTCATTTCATATCAGTTCATGTAAGTCTTTTAAGAATTTTTCTGAAAGCATACTGCTCATGATTTTATAGCAATAGGATTCCATCACAATCAAATACCACAACTTGTTCAGCGATTCACCAATTAATGGACCTCCTCTTGATGTCTAATTTTTTGCCACCACAAAAAAGAGCTGCTATAAATATTTTTGTACAAAGATGTCTTTTTCCCCTTTTCTTTGATCTGTTTGTGATACAGACCTGGTAGTAGTATTTCTGGGTCAAAGGATATGCACAGTTTTGTAGCCTTTTGAGTGTAGTTCCAAATTGCTGTCCAGAATGCTTAAACCAATTCACAACTATACCAAAGGTGCATTGGTGTCCCAATTTCCCCACATTCCCTCTAGCATTTGTCATTTTTCTTTTCTTTCATGCTAGCCAATCTGATAGGTATGAGGTGGTTCTCTAATCAATAGCAGTTTAGGGCATTTTGTCTGCATATTTTAAATGCATATTTGGAAGGCATTAAATTTCCTAAGTACTTCAGAAACAACAAATAATGATGTTTCACAAATCCTCTGTGAAGTTTTAGTTTTCTTCCATTTGTTCCTTCCCTCCCTTTCTCTTTCCTTTCTTTCTCTCTTCTTCCTTCCTTTCCCTGGTAAACAAAGCAAGGAGTTATAGAAGAGTTCATCATGAAGTGACCAAACATAAAGCTTTCTCTATTTAAGAAAACTATTTCTATCAAGGGCTCAAAAATATTTAATTCATGAAAATCAATAGTTTTTTTTTTTCTCACTGTGGCACCATTAGTACATCAATAATTTGAAGATAATTATCTTATGTACAGAAATACTTTACATCTCATATGAATATGATTTTAGTAGTCTAGAGATTGGTCAAGGAGTCTAAATTCATTTTCTATTCCTTTTTTAGGGCTCAGAGAAGACTATTAAAGTTAGAGCTAACTCAGATTCTATTATTGGAAGGGTCTAACTTATAATTTCCATTTGAAATAGCATTTTGATGGTAGTTGGGTTTCTAGGACAGCCCAGAAAAAGCTGATTTAACTCACAATTGACCTAAAGTATGGTATTATAAAGATAATACTATGGTAGCTAACCATCATGCATAGATATCAAATGCTTTTCAGGTTCCAGCTTTGTATAACAATCTTATATCCATGAAGGACACATGTTTCAACTTTATAACAGCAGGCTCCTCTCTCCCTTCCATAACCTTTCAAAAACAGAATCAGGAAGGGAAATGATGAGGATGACCTATGCAGGAGATTCCTGCCCATTTGGCCCTAACAGATCTAATGGATGCCTTATGTGCTTAGAAATCAAATGACCAGGGTAGTGAATTTTGCTGATACCAAGATGCCCCTTGTTAGGCAGGATATGCTCTCTCTGTAGAAATGCTTTATTTGGTTAACTAATAACAACAGATATACTTTAAATGCAAATTAAAACACAAGGCTTGTTTGATATTTTCAATTTGCCAGACAAGAATATGATTTAACTGGGTATGGAAAATAATTAATATTCAAAATAAGTTATATTATATAATGCAAATAGAGAAGTTATTTTCTGGCTGACTGACCAGTTTGTTAAACTGACCAGATTGTTAAACTTTGATCTATACTATTTCTATGGAAATTTATCCATTAAAATAAAATACTTGTTTTCCTATTCTTTTTTTAAACATATTTCTTATTCTATTTGTTTCTTATTGCCTCAGCTTTGTACCCTGAAGCTAATTTAATAAATCCCCTTAAAATTCTCCTCTGGCATGAATTATTTATAAATGTACTGATTAATCAGAATTCGAGCTACTAAAATCATTGCACATACTTCCTTTGTTCCTCCCTCCATGCACTCTTCTATCTAATGCTCAGACACAACATTAATAGATGATGTTGCTCTGATAGCATCTCATTATGTAATTTTTATGTTCTGATGGCCACCATAACCAAATCCTGAGGTGACAGGTTGAACATTATCATTGTTTCTAAGGTTTGCAATGTGAAAAATAGTACTTTCAGATTTTTCATGGGTTATCAAGATTAAGAAAAAATACTCAGGACAGTTCAATTCCAGGGTGAAAGCTCTTTAGGGAAGATTTTAGACTCTTTATTTAAATTATTTTCCTTACATTTATGTTTTTCTTTTTAAAATATTTATTTTAATTTTATATAATATAATATTTAATTTTATATAATATAAATATATAATATATATAATTTATATAAAATATAATTTTATATAATATGATATAAATTTTATAATAATAAATATTTCCATAACAGAGTACAATAAAAAAGATGATTGAACATGAAACTGCAAATCCATTATGTGCAACTTGCTATTCCTTTTGAATAGGTAATAAAGTTATCATGTAACTTTCTTTTTCTTTTTTCCTTCCTCCTATCATATTTAGTCTCTTTCTCTCTCTCTCTCTCTCTCTCTACTTTTCTTCTTTTTCTCATTATTTTCCTCTTTCCTTCCTTCCCCTTCTCTTTCTTGTCTTCTTTCCTTCTTTTACAGAATCATACAATTCGAGAATTGGAAAGGAGGTTAGGAGACAGCTAATCCAAACCATACCAGAAAAGAATCCCTATTTTAACATATCCAGCATGTAATTATCCACCCTATGATTGAAGACCAATAAGCACAGGGAAACTACCACTTCTCTAAGTAGCCCATTATGCTTTTGGCAGTTCCATTGGACATTTTTTCCTGACATGAAGCCTATCATTGCCCCTTTGCAACTTTCACCTATTTCATTGTTCCTGGTTCTGGCCTCTGGAGCCAAAGAGCAGAAGTTTAATCTTTCCTCTATGTGATGGGCCTTCAGATACCTCATGATATCTATTTTTCTGAGTTTTCTAGTTTCCTGGCTAAAATGACCAGTTTGTTCAATTGTTCCTCATATATGTTATTTCTCTTTTATTTCTATTTAGTCTGGATCTATGATTTCATTATTTTGGGAAGATCGTAAGGCCCTCTGGAATTCCACCAATGGAGGATGGCAACTCTTTTCCAAATTATGGTCTTGGAGAATTACCTGAAGCACTGAAAAACTAAGTGATTTGCTGACAGTTGCACACTTAGGACGTCTCAAAAGCAGGGCAGATATCTAGGTCTACCCTACTTCTGCGGCCAGCTTTTCTTAGGCTACACTACAATGGTTCTCATCTATTATTTAATAATAGAAATAAGTTGAGTATAGGATCCATTTCTAAAGATTAGGCCAAAAAAATTAGTAAAAATAAAAGTGTAAGAAAATATACTTACTGGAGGTGCCAGAAATTTATAAAGGGAAGAGCCTCTCAGTGCTAAAAACTTTGGTGTATACTTCCGATCTTGAAGGGAATCTTGTTCTCGTTCTTCAGTCCAGCCCATGTAGACTATCTGGCAGGAAAATTAATAATGTTGACTAATGTCATATGAGCTTATCTTTATTAGAATTTGTTATGCAAATATGGTAAAGTAATTCTAATTCTAATTTTTTACTAATCACTTTCAATTAAAATGATAAAAATAGCCACATGTTGAAAATTATTTTTTCTGTTGCACATGAGAAGGATGCCCATTATAAAAACAAAAATGTAGACCAACATTTTCAAACATTTTCAACCTGAGATCAGAATAGTTTGAGAATTCCTATAAGGACAATATAATGAATGAAATGAAGGCCTGTTACATATGCTCTCTTTCCCTGAGGTTTTCTGTATTACCTTTCTGTCCTCCTCATTTGAAGCTGATAGACTCCCTTATCACAGTATGGACATGAGATACTCAGATAAATGATGATTTTGCTTATCCTAGATGAGAAACTGCTACATTATTTACTGCTTTTAAATTTAGGTAGCAAGAGGGCTTAGGCCTGAAATTAATTTCATTGGTGTGGTGAACTCCCAGGTGAGGAAACTTTTTTATATACCTTTGGCATCTTCTCTTCAACTTATAGTCTTAGAGTTTGCCTAGAGAACTGAAAAGTTAAGTTACTTGCCCAGAGTCAAAGAGCTGCTATAGATCAGGGGTAAAACTTAAATCCAAGTTGTCCTGATTTCAAGGGCAGTTTCCTATACACTACAGTATGTTGCTTCTTAAACTAATATTGATATATTTCTGGCAATGAAATAACTGAAAACAAACCACTCTTTTTTTTTCTCTCCATGTGACAGCTATGAATTGTTTGTGTAAAGCACTTTCTAAACTTGAAAGTGATGTAATAATGTCAGTTATGATTTGTAGTATGTAAACTCTTTGAGGACAGGAACCATATTTTTGTTTTTACCCTTTTCCATAACCGTACTGCTTAGCATAATGCCTAGTGCATACTAAGCACTTAATAAATGCATACTAAGCACTTGATTTATTGTTATTACAATTATTATTAACAATGTCTCCCAGAAGCAGCACATTCTAACGATCCAATCTATCACTTAACAAGTAATTATTGAGGTGACCAGTCCTATGTTGCATAAGAGGTAGATAGAACAGAGCAATCTACAAGCCACATGAAAGGATGCTCATGTAGATCATTGATCCATGGGCCAAATGAATCATGCCACCACAATGATAAAATAAATGAAAACTAGGTATTCTGTGATGCCTCCATGTTCAAGGGAATTCTTAGCTAAAATGTGTTTTCCTTCAAGTAATTTGCAATTCAAAGAGATTGAAATTCAGTTCTATACTCCAACCCAGTTACAGCCTCACTATGCTAAGGTGGAGAATTCCTGGGCTGATTCTGAAGATAGGCAAACAATTGTCAAAAGATGAAACATGAGGAAGAGGGGCAGAGTCAAGATGGCAGAGAGAGAGTTAACAGTTTTGCCCTACCTCCCTTCACATCCTCCCCTACAAAAATTTTTAGAGTACCAGAATAAAATTTGATGTGGAAAGCCAAGAAAAAGTCACAGTGAGTCATTTTTTTCAGCCCAGGGCAGCTTAAGAAGAAAGAAAAAGAGATCTGTAGACACTGAGTTGGGGGATGGCCAGGAGCGTAAAAACAGGTGAGTGACACCTGGCAGCTTTCTCATCCATTTCCCAGGTCTGGGTCATAATTCCAGGGTGAGAAAATGGGCTTAGTATTGAGGGAGCAAGGACCCTATCTGTGTAAGGAGCAAGGAACAGATTACAGGAAAAAAAAATAGCTATGTGACTCTGAGAAAAGAGTGAGGAGTCACTTTATTCCCACACATAAGCCTATAGTGCAATAAACCAGGGCAGGAGGAGAAAACCAATGTGGATACAGCAATTCACTCATTCTGAACCCACAGAACCTTTCAACAGGGTAACTGACTATGTCCAGCAACAATCTATAAAAACCAAATCACACTCAAGTTAACAAACACAAAATAGGTCAGGAATGTTCAGAGTAGGCAGGCCTCTCCCTCTCTCACTTTGGAAGTACAAAAAAATCTACAAGTCCCCAGACTGAGGAATGAAAGCAGAAGAAGGATATAAAAGATAGGACAGAAGCTCAGGCCAGGCATCCTCCCAACCTCCAAAGTGAGCAGAAACCAATACTAACTTAAATTCCAAAGTCAAGAAATAGACTGGAAACATGAATGAATGACAACAACAAAAAATAACCTGGCCATAAAAACTATTATGGTTACAGGGAAGCTGAAGCCATAAACACAGAAGACTATGATCTACAAGCAAAGCCTCAAAGAAAAATGCAGATTGTACACAAGACCAACAACATTCCTAGAAGAGTAGAAAATAGAGGTAAGAAGGTAGAGATAAAAAAGCAAAAAAATATTTTTAAAAATCAAATAAGAGTAGTAGCACATAAATTGGAAAAAGAACTAAGAGCTAATTCCAGAAAATTATGAAAAGAGAACAGTGTGATTAAAAAAAAGGTACAAACAACACCAAACAAAGTAAATCCTTAACAATTAGACTTGTCCAAATGGAAACTAATGATTCTATGAGACATTAAGAAACCATACACCATCAAAAGACAAAAAATAGAAGAAAATGTGAAATATCTCAAAGGAAATAGAAAAAGGAAAGATAATTTAAAAATCATTTGACCACCTAAAAATCATGAACAAAAAAAGTCTAGACATCATATTTCAAGGAATTATAAAGGAAAGCTTACTAGATATCTTAGAACCAGAGAGAAAAGAAAAAAACACATAAAGAAACTACCAGTCACCACTTCAAAGAAATCTCAAAATGAAAACTAGGAATGTTATGGCCAAAATCCAGAACTCCTACATAAATGAGAAAATGTTGCAAGGAACCAGAATGAATGGGCATAGTATTGAGGGAGCAATTACCCTTGAGGTACAGTCAATATCTTATAAGATTGAATAGATACCACTATAAAGGAGCAAAGGGTTTGGAATATGCTATTTCAGAAGGCAAAATAGGATTAAAACTAATAATAACCTGTCCAGCAAAATGGAATATAATCCTACAGGAGGGAAATTGATATTTAATGAAACTGAGAACTTTCAAACTTCCTGATGAAACACAAAACAAAACAAAGCAAAACAGAACTTAACAGAAAATTTAACATTTGAACACAAGGCTCAAGAGAAGTATAAAAAAGTAAATATAAGTGAGAAACCATTAATAGCTAAACAAGTTTAAACTATGTTACCTACATGGGAAGGTGATTATGCAATCCCTATGAATTTTATTCTGACTAGGGTGGTTAGAGGGAGTCTACTTAGACAAAAAGTATTAGTATGATTATACTATTTTGGGATGTTCTCAATAGAATAATGGAAGGGTGAGAAAGAGGGATGCACTGAAAGAATGATGAAGTGATGGTAAAAAATATCTCAAATGATGGGTCATGAAAAGAGGAGTTTATTAAAAATAAAAACTGCAATACTGGAACTACTGCATGAAATTCATAATTTTTCCACAAAGCTTTAAGATACTGTTTGGTTAGGCAAGGTAATGTGGTGATGAGTCCTATCAGTGGAAAAAAAAATAGAGCAATTAGTTATTGAATATGGGAAGTAGGACCTGGGTATGTTAACAATGAAGTAGAGAGTGTCCATTGAACTGAGTGAAATAGAACGGGGTGAGAGATGCAAGAAAATAACATAGACCAGTTGACAATGTACAGAGTGGAAATAAATGACAGGCAGTGAAAATGAAATAGGAGTGTATCTAAATGTGGGTCCTTAGAGGTAATTCCATGTTGAGCATAGGATGAGTGTGTTATAGGGCAATGCGTGGACAGAAAACTGTGTCCTGCAGACCTGGGAGGAAAGTTACCAGCTTTGGACATTTCCCTAATCCCCTAGGTGCAATATCAACATTCTGAAGACTATGATATAAATATCTGATTTTAATGGTTTTTAGAGTTCCTTATATCTGTATAAGGAAGGTTAATGCCTAACACCTCTTAACATAGTAGGAGCTCAATGAATGTTTGATAAATGAAATAGAGTGGTAGGGGAGAAGTCAGTGAACATAGTTTGATACCAGCATAATTATCAGCAGGTGGGATATGGATTTGAATTTGTGTGTACTAGGGTGAAGGCACAAGGAAGAAGTGGGCTGAGGACTCTAACACATGGGAGGTCTGTTTACATTGTTATTTTTTAGTCTATTTCATGTGAGCATTTTGCATCCCTAATTAAATTATAAGCTCCTTGAGGGTATCTGCTCCACTTTGCCTAGAATCAGCTTCCTGTTGGCATGTTGGATGGGGAAACATTAGAGAGTATGACAGGATCTCTGTCATATATGCTTAATCAAATTGAATGTAGTTTTGCATGAGTTTGAAAAATGATCTAAAAAGAATGGTAATAAAATGTGGGTTGGAAGATCAACATTTGTTCAAGAATGGAAAAAATTTGAAGCCAAGATGGCAGAGTGAAAGTAGTGGCTTGCTTGAGTTCTCTCCCAAACCCCTCCAAATACCTGTAAAAAATGGCTCTAAACAAATTCAAGAGCAGCAGAACCCACAAAAAGACAGAGTGAATCACATTTACAGCCCAAGACAACCTGGATGGGCAATCAGAAAGATCTATCATGCCCGGCTGAGAGAAGAACTCATTTTGGTGTGGGTGAATGGTCAAAACAGGCCTCAATGAACCTGGAGCAGGGCTCAGAGGACTGAATCATGGGCAGCAGTGGCAGCTTCAGACTTCTCAACAGAAGAATGCCAAAGGCAACTTAGAAGGTCAGTAGGAAAAGTCTGTGACTACTGTAAAAGAGAAGTGTGGTCCCAGTCCCAGCCCCAGCTGTAACCCTGTGGCAGCAGCTGCTTCCAGAACTTCCAATCCACAGACTGAGGAGCAATCAAGTGGCTGATCAGAGGGGGATTGCAGGGATCTCTTTGCTGGTGCAGGATTCTCTTGCTTTGCCCATGCTTGGATCTGGGTCACAGTTCTGGGTGGCAATACTGGGCCAAAGAGAAGTGCTGG